TCATAAAAAAAGTGGTGAATGAAGTTCTGAAAAATGGGCATGTAAACTGGAGAAACGGAAATAAACTACGCAGCTGTGACTAATATCGCGGTCAACAGTGTAGCTCCTTTCTCACAGAGGGTGCCACCAAGAGTTTCATGAAGTAGGTAAAAAATACGATAAAGATATGAAATAGGTACCTAAGCGCTTTTATCTTGCGATGGAGTTGTTCTTACTTTGTAACTAGGCTAGTACCGTTGAGCTAGTACTGTGTAATGGGGATAACAAAAGACAAAAATTTACGAGCAAAAAAAAACTAGCAGGCTATGTAAGTTGCCTATGTTAAATCATTTAGCGATTCTCTTTCAAGGTTAAACAGAGCCTGCTTGTAAAAGAATTTGCTGACAGCAAGAAAAAGATCGTTCCTGGTATATTTTTATTTTGTCAACTACTTGCTTCGAAATTTATTTGGTTTCTCTTTCCTATTCATTGCAAAAGGTAACCTCCTCTACCTATCGTTTTATGAAATAAATAATAGAAATGGGGATAGGTAACATTCCTTTATAACAAATATCAAAATTTTACGTTATTTTTAGAACAAAGGGCTGTTGTATATTGTTGTTGATGTCTGGCAAGTTGCGACCTTGTGTGGGTGTTTATTTGTAATGCGATTTGTTTGACCGTTTTCCTTATTCTTTATCTTTGCTTATTGCACTTTGCAGATTAAAATACCGTAATTTATAATCCATACCTTGTTGCAAATTAAATTTTTTGAACTTCAATAGTACCATTGAATAAAGCTCTTTATTCAATGATAGTACCTATTACATATTATTAGTATTAGTTTAGTCAGTTTAGTGTAATGTGTAATAATTGACCTATACAGGGTGATTCAAATTCAAAGGCCACCATGGGAATCTCGGGAACTGTAAGAGATAGGTAGTTTACATTTGACAAAGTTACCCTTGATGGTAACATCATCTAGTTTTAATAAGAAATAACGTTAATTCGTAAAAACGCAAGAAACTACTTACGTACGTTACTTAAGACAAAGGCAAAAAAGATGTTTTACAAGCATTAAAAACATTGATGTGTACATTTTTGAAATCAAAAAAAAATTCTCTATCAAATCACACAAAAAGTAAAAATTACTTCCATAAGAAACAAAGTTGGTGATAGTTAACCGGAGACGAAACGTCAAACTTCAAATTTAAAAGTAGCATCTTGTAGAGGGAGAAAAGTGGCCATAATAATGTGTCATTTATTATTAAATATCTTTGTAAATAACTATTAACTTCAGTAAAAAACAAAAACGATTTTCAAAATCTCGTTTTTTCCGGATATCTCCGAAAGTAGTCAGAATTTCAGTTTCAAAACTGTTTTTGTTAAGCATCAAAATACACAACTTTGCCAAATTTACCACCTATCTAATCTATCTCTTACATTTCCCGAGATTCCCATGGTGGCCCTCGAATTCGAATCAGCCTGTCAACAGGGCCGGTGAAAGGCTATTTGGCGCCCTAGGCGAGATGTTCTCAGCGCGCCCTTCCGGAGGTTATTCCTAGGTACCAGTACCAGGCAAAAAATAGAAAGTGGCGTTCATAAATACTTTATTGTGTTTTCTTCAAATACATAATAACATAACGACATAACGTGTAGGCGATGTAGGTACCTATACAAAAACGCATATCCAAAGATATTAGGGTAGGGATATACACATAAAAAATCAAAAATTCATCTTCCTTGCCTTATTTCTCGCGAACTGCTGGACTATCTGTTCTAAATTTACATTCCATGCCTCCTTCGATTCAATTGAGATCATTGCCAAGTCCACGACCCTATTCTGAGACATTGTTGACCGCAAAAATGTCTTTATCAGCTTTAGCTTGGAGAAACTGCGTTCTCCGCTCGCCACCGACACTGGAAGCGTCATTAAAAAGTACCGGGAAGTTTTTTGGAGCCGCCGACGCGCTTTCGCTGAAAGATGTTACTTAATTTTGGCGCCCTCTGAAGCTTGGCGCCCCAGGCAGCCGCCTATGTTCGCCTTGTGGTTTAACCGGCCCTGCCTGTCAATTACTAATTTACAAAAGACCATCCCTCGAATGTAAGACATTGGGTACAAATGTATATTTAGGTATAAACGGCTAAAAAATTAAAAAAAAATCGGTATACCGTAGGTATGTCTCCGGATTGACTTTACAAGAAGAAAAACTTTTACTATACTTTTTGACAAAAATCCATTCTCCATAAAAGCTTTTGCTTGTTCTAATTCGAAATGTCCCTACCGTTTCAGAGAAAAATATAAAAAAAACGAAAATATGGTTGAACTTTTCCAAGTCCTAAAAGTCAAAACGCGTCTTGACTGTACCTAATAACATTTCGTTAGTTACAAAGTCTTCGTTACCTGTTATTTGAATAGGCACTAGGATCGTTATAACTTATAAGTATAACAAACACACTTCGTAATGACATTGAATTTCATTAAGTGAAGGAATCAAGAGTTTTACTGAGAGTCCTCCCAAACAAAAAGCCCCTGTCGCCACTTGTGAACCAATTTTACGACCTTAATTTTGAAAGTCCCCTATGCCAATAATTACGCGATTTTTACTTCATAAGTTACGTTACAAGCGGTTCATTATTCTCCTCAAGTTATGTGCGGTAGAGAGCTAATTATAATTTTGTTAACCTAGCAGTCTGTAAGGAGCCGTGAACGACCTTGCGTTTGTGTTTTGTATCTTCTTGTCGTGTGGTTATGCAAATCAAATTGCATTTTTTTTAAAGCACCCTCTGTGTTGTTTGGGGCCCACTTAAAGAGAGTATAATGATTTAAATATTTGTATAGAAAACTGCTGTAGTTACGCTATTCATTATTAGGTACCAGCACATTCTAACGAAAAAATCTTTGTCCTTTACTATGGGTACTTCTCTTTTCAGGCAATCCCAGCCTTAAATACTTACAGAAGAGACGATGTCAGTTTTGTTTTATTACACCACTCCCAATAATGACGCGTTTCCCCCCACTCTTATAACTTCCTTCTTTTCCATTTCCGTCTCGACCCCTTTTAATGTAAGGTTCTCTTCTCTCCTTTTATTTTTTACTGGTAGCACAGAACTCACTCTCCGTCTCAACGCTTTTCGATACCGGGTAATCAGCAAAGCTAGCGCTCCACGAATATACGGTGTGGTCTGTGGTCACAACTCCAGGGCGCAAAACAGGTGCTTCGTTACAAAGTTAAAACAAATTGAACTATACTGACTGATTGAGGGGAACCAGAATGACATTAAGAGTGACAACCCCCCCTCCCCACCCCTTAACCCCCAGCCCCCTCACTTCACAAATCCTAAATGGCAACCCCTATAAAAAAAGAAATCAACCAAGATTGCTTAATGAAGCAGCTCAGGTTGAAGTTCTTAGCCAATTTGCCATAAATCCCTCAATACCAACATTTAGTTTTTTTTGTTAATTATTAAATTTTTGTTAAATTGTCTTAATGAATATTGACTTTATTGGTACCACTGGAAAGCATTTTTCAGTACCTTTCCAACGATGTGTTACAAGTATGGAGTTGCTATTTAGGATTTTTGAAGAGGGGGGGGAGGGCTGGGGGGTTTAGGGGTGTTGTCTCTAATAACGTCATTCTGGTTCTCCCTCGATACCCCCGAAACGGTTTTGCGCGATTTTCAGTATCTTCTTTAGTTTGGAAAACATGACCGACTGCAAGTTTTAAAATTGACACCCTGTATAACAAGCTTCGAAATTATTACCTTTACCTCTTAGAGAAGGCTTTCTTTCATAGTCTAAGATTATTACATTGTCGGACAGTACCGGGTGACCCAATAAGACTGTTCCTCGGCCATATATCTCGGGAACCGTTTCTCTTTATGACTTAGGGGTAAACAAAATTATTGGGTAAACGCTGGAAAATATTTTCAAATTCTAAAAATGGCCACCAGAGGGCGTAACTGCCATCTTAAATTTTAAAATTGCATTTTCTTTAAATTTCGCATAATAAACTTCCAAAATCCATTAATCTCATTTTCCCAATATTTGAGGTTAGGAACGAACGAACGATTATTGAAAAACGGTTTTCACTGGCCTCCTTGAATGTTATTTGGCTAATTTTTTATAAAGAAAAAGTCATACCATTCCATTTGATTTTTTAGGGTGGGTCATGGTGTCAAAACTAATCCCGTGGCGGAGAAGGATTCAACTAAATTAACTATATTTTGATTGATTCTTATTGCCCACGGAATGCTCTTTTCAACGATATAAAAATTATTAAAATCGGTCAAACCATAAAAATGTTAAAGCAGGTTATTGCAAAAACAATTGAACGCCCCATACCATTTTTGTTTTTGAAATAACAGTTTCTTTTTTTTACGAAAATTTAAAAATGTGAAAAACATTTTTTTAGTTTATTATGCGAAATTTAAAGAAAATAGCAGTTACGCCCTCTGGTGTTCATTTTTAGAACTTGAAAATGTTTTCCAGCAAGGAAAAGTCTTATTGGGTCACCCGGTACAGTTTCGAGATGTAACGTATTTCCACGAGTCTATATAGGGGCATTCTTGACAAGCGTCAGTTAGAAAGATATGGAGAACCTTAAGGGTTTTGACACATGATGAATTGAACTAAAATATTTTCAAGATGGCGCCACTTCCGCAAATACCGGAAGTAGCCATCAACTTTATTTTAAATAGGGAGCCCCCATTTTTTTTCCATTTTCGGATTCTACGTCGAATTTGGAGTACAACGGTACCATACCATAGTTGACCCTTTGCTCCAAGGGCTTACCTAGTCGATATTCAAGTTTTTATGTCAAAAATTGAATTTGCAGGGGTAACTTTAAAAATTTATTATTCGAAAACGGTGAGAGATATTGCAAAACAGTTTTCACTGCTTTATTAAGGAAAGATCGAATTTTCTTATGATATGCGTAACCGTCTAAAAAAGTGAGACTTCGTCACTTGTTCAAAGCTTCCTCTTTATATTCTCACATACTCATATAAAAAAATCCAAATGACTATATTACAGATAATTGTATTCAGATATATGCTCTACATAATCACAGGAGTTGTGTACATTTAGAAAAATACAATTTGCACACAAAAACTAAATTGCATTATTTGTAACAAAAAAGTAACCAAATTTCCTACAAGTAAAAAAGAACAGAAATGCTATAAAAGTCGATAAATAAAAATTGAGCATTCTACTTAAACTGAATTTTCAAAAAATACTAAACTTCTTTTTCTTTTTTTCTTTCATGATAGTGACAGTAGAACATTCAGATTCGTCGACGTCTTTATCCGCATCAGTCTTTTTTGAACCTCTTAGTTTAAATTTTTTATCTTTCTTTTTCTTCTTTTGCTTTAGGTCATCCTTCATCTTCGCAGTAAGATCCTCTCGCTTCAGAGTGTATAAAGTCAGTTGGTTATTTATGCTATCATCCTCTTCCGCCTCCCGAATTCGATCCATTTCTAAGCATTCAACTATTTCATTCCGCCTCTCCACGACCTCGACAAGACGAGTAATTAGTTCCTCTTCTCTAGCCTTGTCACTGTCTGTCTTGTTAATTTCCGGTTGTAACATTAAGCAACGAATTTGATACTCTAAATCTGCATACTCCTCCTCTAATCTTTGCTGTCGGCGTCTGCAATAGTAAGAGTCGAATAACGTCATTATTATCAAAAGCTAAAATACTTACAAATACATCAGTTCCGCTTGCTTACGGAACAAATCATTTTTCTCGTTCACCAAGTCGAAAAGCTGCAAAATTAAATCGTCAACTTCAGGGGAGAGGGTCGTGTTGGATTGCTCGTTGGGCCCTTCGCATTTCTCCCGAATAATTTGCTCCAGTTTAACTCCCTGTTTTTCCAAGCCCTGCTGTTGTATTTCTATGAATTCTAGTTCTCTTTTAATCTCGCCAATCGGTAAAGGATTGATGTGTCTCCTTTGTGGAATCGGGCGCGAGGGCGCTGGACCTTTGCGTCGTTTCCATTTGCCGTAGGTGCTTTTGTTGGGTATCGAGTAATCTTCGCTCAACGGCGATTCAGGACCTTAAATATAAAAGTTTACATAAAAATAAAAGCGAAGGTAAATTAAGAATAAACACAATGGTTACTATGACCAAGGCGAAAGTGAACTGCAAAAACAAGGAAACAGTGGGACTGGGGTGTAAGTGGAAAAAGAAAGAAATACACAAAATAAAAACAATAAGTGATTGAGTAACTTAAGGTAGAGAACCAGAAACAATTCCTCCATTTAGTTTTGTTTAATGGAGCGGGGTGCTGAATTTGTATTATGTTCATCAACATAGGAAACTGTACACATACATATACCGCTTCATAGCGAACGTGAACGAAAGGATGTGTGGAAATAAAAACGCGTGTATTTTGGTTAAAGATGTGCGTTTTGGAGATAAAACGCTAGTGAGACCGGATTGTAAGGGGGTTTTTGGCTGACGAGGTTAGACCCGTTTTCCGCCTTGAGGTTAGCAGTTGTAGTGATCACTTCGTAGATGAAACACCTGATATTTAGAAGCATTGCAAGTTAGGCGATTCGTTACAAAATGTGTTGTACCAAAAATATTTGTGTTGATTCTATTAATTGAAGATAGAAGGTAACGGTGTCTGATTTAATTTCTAGAGTTATGTTTCAACCACCCCCGCGTTCCCATCAAGATATTTCAATTATTTTTGTTTTTTTTAATAAATAAACCACGCAATTTTATTTAAACAAATTAAAAATTTCTAAAGATTAAAAATTCATAGTAAATAATAAATTTCTTCCATGAGGATCGCAGTTGGAAGCGTCCCCATTATTTTTAATTTATTATTAGGTACATTAAAAAATAGTTATTTTGTAGTATCCAAAAGCTTTTGTAGTTTAGAAAACTAATTTAGGTCCCGTTAAGTAATTCTTAGATGATTTTGATTTCCAATGGTATATGAAAACAAGCATAACACCAGTTGAGACCATGTAGTTTAGGTGTTTATCAGCTTGACTCGCCGGTTTGATTCCAATAATTAACATTTTGTTCGAAGTAATTTTAATATTCCTAAAGGAATCGACCTATGAGCACGATTTGCATCAAACAGATTTTGTATTGTATTTATTGATAAGAATTCAATTGGTTCCTTGATTGGAAATTTATTTTATCTCTCCTTTGGTTGGATTAAAATTTTGTTTAGCATCAGAGGTTTTTATATAGTAAATATGAATTTTAGATCAAATTTAGCATTCTACACGTGAACACGAGACAGGTATTGCATTTTTTGTATTTCTTTTTATGAAGTCAAATAATTTGGAAAGAAGCACGAAATTTGATCGCCTTCACATGCATATTTATACGAATTCAATCAAAGCAGAGCATTAGATTTTGAATTTCAGATTTTAAGAAGAAATAAGAGGCCGAACTTCCGCAAGATAAGGGCTAGGTAAGGGGCACAGTGGCGTAGAGGTTCAATTTTATTTAATGCCAGTGGGGTCTTCAACCCTTGTAAATGTAACTATAAGCAGTTACAAATTTTGATTTTGTCTTTGAAAAGATCGAATATGTAAATTAATGTGTAACAATATACCGCTGAATCTGAGACAGCCTTTTATGATCACCTGGTATGACTGGCGTCCAAAAATCGAATAAAAAATGATGAGTTTGTCACAGGAGTTCATTAATAATTTTTCCAGCTATTTAATCTAATCGTTCTTTTGTTTCATGCTAGGTTCCATTGCCGCGCCCGAGGGATAAACAGCTTTTGTTTCAGCTTATATTAAGCCTTCTTATTTTGAGCTCAAATGATTTCTGAGTTGCTGCTACCCAGGTTCAACCCCCATCTCTCATTAACTTATGACACCGAAAGTCGGCCATCTTGTGCGACTGCACTGTGTGTATGATATAGTTCAAGGGAGTCAGTACTCTAGTGAAAGTAGCTAGTGTTGCTGATGTGTATTATCTGTTAGGTACTGTAAGTAAACTGTGCATCTCCTAATTGTACTTTGACAGTCCAAGAAACCTTTATAAAATATTGTTGTGCCACCCTGTATGTGAAGAAGATTCAATTTATTACGTAAATCTGGTGGGTTATTTACGAATGAACACAAAGTTGGTTTATTTCACTTGAATTGGCAGTGAGGTGTGTGTTTTTGCTAGATACGTAATTTTTCGTTTAATTGTATGCTTTTGTAATTTATTCAATTTAGGTAAGGTGTTAGAAGTACACATCTGGTAGATTTTGCGTTATTTATAAAAGATTTTATCTAGCCGGTTGCGATAAGAAACGTTATCAGGCGAAATTTAATTAACGCACGTGTTCTTTCGCCGCAAAGTGAATAGTGATTGGCGGTGTTTTTAAAAATTCATTGACGATTTTTTTATAGTGGAACTGGTGTTTCTTTAAATACTGAAGACACTCGGAAGACTAACCTTTTTTCTTTCGCGACAATTTGAGAGCGTGTACGTTTCTAATGCTAAATTTTTTCGAGCAGTCGGCCTGTTTATGTAAAAGCGTAATTTGTCGGTATCAAAATAAACTCTGTAAAAGAAGTTAAGCAATCTTAATGAAAGATTTAAGTTATTATATCGCCAAGTGAAGTAGTAAAAGTTCGTGGGAATTTTTAAAACGGTTTTGTTCGCAATCAGAAAAAGTTAGTACGAGTGTTGATTCAAAATAAGGTTCTTTTTTCGTTAAAAGTTGATGTGGATGTGTTCTACCGCCCGAAAAGCCACCAAAATGTGTGGCTAGTATCGCAAACCTTTTACGATCAGATAATTTGGATTTTTAAGAAACAAACTAAGTATAATTTAAGAGTTTTTATTTTTAATTGTCGCATGCGTGAGGGGTGTAATCTTTGTAAGCATATCTTTCTTACAGGGATTATGTTTTAATTCTTTCCTGTGTGTTGGAATAAATTTTTATCATTGTTATGTGTTTATTCGAATCCAAAGTGCGACCCAGATGGAGCTTTCATGACTGATTTTTCTATTCGTGCCCATGATTTATTTCAGGTGTTAATCAAACTTTGTGTAATGAATTCTTTGGAATGTTCGGAAATTATGCAGGGTCTATCATAATCAATGCAGAAATTGTTTCATAAGTACTTCAATGGCCACCTAGTATAATATCCAAACTATGTGAAAAAGCACTTACTGTTAATAATTTGGCTTTGACGATTTCTGTTGACTTCATCTTTCATAATTTTCTCATCACTCCAATCAGACGAGTCGTGCGATATCGCAGAAATATTTAAGCTCATTGTGTTTAGATTCGTAACAGGCGTGGAGGTGATCGTAGGCGGAAGTGGAGCTTTTTTGTTCTTGCGTATCTTCGGCGTAGTCTTGGGCGAGTGTTGCTAAATTTAAATTGTATACGCGTGTAAATGGAGAACAAAATACTAACCACGCTGACGCAGGGACTTGATGTAACCGAACTGCGCGGCGATTCCGTGGGCGGTTTTGGTGCAGGTTTTTTCTTTCTCGAAGTACCGATACTGGAATGGGCACTATTTAAAGAAGTACTCGACCCGTAGATTTCTTTAGAGACCGGCAAGGATAATTTTCTCGGCTTCGGTTCGGGTGTATTCACCAAACTCCTAGTAATGCAATATTTTAGCATATTCACACACGTCGTTGACAGTTATACGGTCATGCAAAGAATACTAATAGGAAGTGACTAAGTTTAATACAACCACAATAGTCTCGTCACAAGAGTAATTACACTTACTTAGGGAACTGGTTTGTGCAAAGTAGGGCAAAAATATTTACCTCGAATTTCTGGGCAATGGCACCGGCTTTTGCCTGATTTGTACTTCCTCCTCTGGTTCGTCGTCATCTGTATCAAACGGATTGGTACTAACGCGAATTGTGGGCTCAACTGGGACTGGGAGGTCGTCATCATCTTCGTCGAACGGATTGTACGGTTTTGGCTCGATCGCCCTTTTGTTGGCGAATTTCTTTCGAATTGCAGGCTTTGGGGTGTCGTCAAGGTTGTCACCAAATGGATTGAGGTCCTCTGGATATTCTTCGTCTTTGACACTTGAGGGAGTTAAATCTTGATCAACTTTAATCGGTTTATCTTCTACATCACTATGGTTTTCTAATCTAGATGGCGTTTTTACATCTTGCTCAATTTTATCATCACTATGGTTGTCTAATCTATTAATGGACTCATCTAAGCTATTAATAATAGGAGACTCTAAAGGCACTGCGGATTTTTGTGGTGATTTAATTTCATTATTTTGTGTTAGTTTACTTTCGAATAAAAGTGCGCGAGACTTCACCAAAGAAATTCTATTATCGTTACTGGTAGTTTTAGTTTCTTTGGTCGACTCAAAATCCAGCGATTCAATGGCAGTCTGCTGCTGGTTTTTGTTAACATCGTCACTTAACTTATCGCTACTATATACAACCGCGTCTTCTTGACGAATCGACGGATAACCACTATCAAAAGATTCAAATGGTGCACTAATAATACTGTTACTATCATTACTTAAGTCTTTATCTGTGGTAACTACGCTTTCACTAACTCGCTGAATGTCAGGTGGTTCGGTCTGTTGTATAATCGGAGGCATACTTTTAGGCAACTCGGGAACTTCTTCGTCTGCCAGGTGAGTGGTGAAGAAGGCCGAACGTGCGCTGTCAGTCACCGTCTGCTTGTCTAAAGCAGTCTCATAAACGGAAGTGTAATCATCTTGGTCGTCGAATTTTTGCAAACCAATCGATTTCTCTTCATCGCTCAGCGACCGAGTCAGCACCGACTTGTCCGGCTGGAGCTTCTCCTCGTCAGGGCAGACCTCGCAACAGAACTGATTTTCGATTTCGGTCTCGTAGTAGTTGGCCAACGCTAGTTGGCTATTGCAGCGAGCGCAGCGGAAGCAAGTTCGGTGGTAAAGTTGTTTTCCTACGCTCAGACGTTCCGCTATAAAAACGGGAAGGCGACATTTAGCGCAGGGCTCCCTACGACCTACACCACCACTAGGTCTGGGAATCTAGACAAAAACGAGAATGGTATCAGATCGGAAAGCTCGGCAAGGTGATAATAAGCAAGCGTACCCAAAGCGTAAACGAATTATTTACCTTTAACAAAAAATTTCTGGTTTGTACTGGCCGATAACGTCCATCTTTTCCTCCTAAATAGAATAAACAGTGTGGGTTAAAAGCAAGACCACGCAAAATTATAAAGGAAATTAGGAATGCAATGTGCCATTTACATTTCTACAAAAAATATAACAGTTAGACCACTTCCTTCCAACGAAACTGGTGTTTCCTACCAATACCCATTCATTATCTATTTGATAAGCATTCGTTTAAGCGTTATTGTGTTTTTAACATGCAGGAATTGTACGGGAAAAAATAGTGAGAAATGAACGCATCCATTGTCAATTCACATACATGCAGATACCTATGGACGTGTTCCAGTGCTTTCATGCATAATTAATTCTTCTATTGTTCGAATTTGATTTATCGATAGTTTTTATGATGCGCTTCTCGACGTATTGAATTTTTAGTATTGTAAAGCAGAAGCAGACACAACCGATCTTACTCGCGATACCTAAATGGTCAGATCAGATTTTGTGCATGTGATTTTAAAATGAAATTACGTTGTGGAAATGTTACGTAACATTTATTTCTTTCCGCTTCAGTAACATTGAAAAGAATCCCACTTGTTGACAATATGTAATGATTTTGTCCCCTACTTCTAGTACCTAACTTGAAATTTGATTAAATATTGATGTACAAACGACCATATCACTTTGTTAAATTTAATATTTGACTTCGACTTTGTTAGCCTAGAATAATTTGGAAACTGTTACCATTAGACAATATTATCCCCAATTTTAATTAAAAATGTCTGTGTTGTCGAACTTTGGTAAAAATCAGCCCTGCATACAAGTCAAGAATGTTAAATTAGTTTAAAAAGAAATATCCTACTACTTTTGCTGCTCCGAGTCACGGCTACTATAGTTAAATGTACAGGGTGAGTCAACCATTGCGCGGAGTAACTTATTACCTTGAAGATAAGATTTTTCGGTCAAGTGCTTTTATATTATGATATGGTTGAATATTCTCCACATTTTAAAAATATTTGGAATTATACAGGGTGCGCCCACAAAGTAGCGGTACATTTTTTTAATAGAACCCCCTGTATTTGAATGCATTTTTGAATTCTACGTGTAATTGTACGTCTTTTTTATTATATGGTTAATATCCAAAAAGTTAGTTTTTGAGATAATTCGATTTTTAAGAAAAATTGGGCATTTGCAAGCGTCAGTATATTGTCAAAATTATTACTTAAATTTTGATACCAGGTTTTATATCTTTTATCCTGGCAAATAAATACATCTACTATGAAACATTAAAAAAAATAGCTTACAGGGTGTTTTTTTTTGGTAGGTCCAAAGCTACAAAACTTCATATTTCTAAATCTCACTTTTTTAAATGGAACACCCTGTATATTTTTCTGTCATCTTTTAGCTCTTTCCTATACCTATCTCTGATATTTTTCAAAATATCTTGGTTTTCCTGGTTTTTATATTCTAATCTTAAATAAGTTATATGTAATTTATATCATTTCTGCAGAGGCACCTCTAAAAAGCATTATGCGGGTCACTCTGTAATTGGGCGTAAGCCTGTTGAGGGCCCAGAACAAGAGAGGGATAATAAATAAATAAATAATAGTGAGGTGGCCATGCAAAAAAAGGCAATTTTTATCTATCTCGTCCAAAACAAAAATCATATCGATTAATTTATTTTTCAAACAATTTATTTTAAGTCCAAAAACTGGAAAATAAGTAAAAACATTTGACTACAAAGCAAATTTAATTTAACTCCTAATGTCATCCAGTCAGTGATATTAGTTTCATTTTTTTTCAGTCACCTCGTTATTATGTAAATTAGAACTCATTTCAGATTAAAATATAAAAACTAGGAAAACCAAGATATTTGTTTATGTTTTTACTATCAAATTTATTCTCCAGTTATTAGACTTAAATGAATTATTCGAAAATTGAATTAATAAGTATGATTTTAGCTTTGGCCGAAGCAGTTAAAAATTGCCTGTTTTTTGCATGGCCACCTCGTTATTATGTAAATTACATATAACTTAATTAAGATTAGAATATAAAAACCAGGAAAACCAAGATATTTTGAAAAATATCAGAGATAGGTATATAGGACATTATTATCAAAAGTTGAAAGTTTTTGGAAGAGCTAAAAGATGACAGAAAAATATACAGGGTGTTCCGTTTAAAAAAGTGAGATTTAGAAATATGAAGTTTTGTAACTTTGGACCTACCAAAAAAAACACCCTGTAAGTTATTTTTTTTTATCTTTCATAGCAGATGTATTTAGTTGACTTTTACTTAACCCAGGATATAAAACCTGGAATCACAATTTAAGTAATAATTTTGACAATATACTGACGCTTGCAAATGCCCATTTTTTCTTACAAATCGAATTAAAAACTACTAGTTTTTCGGATATTAACCATATAATAAAAAAAGACGTACAATTACATATAGAATTCAAAAATGCATTCAAATACAGGGGGTTCTATTTAAAAAAAAATGAACCATTTTGGTGCCTTACTTTGTGGGCGCAACCTAATTCCAAATATTTTTAAAATGTGGATAATATTCAACCATATCATAATACAAAAGCAGTCCATCGAAAAATCTTATCTTCAAGGCATTAAGTTCCTCCGCGCAATCGTTGACTCCCCTGTACATTGAACCAGTATAGAATATTCTAATCAACTCCGCAGTCTGCGTCATCTCTCGAGGTGCAGTGGAAGAGAACACCATTAATACAAAAAAGCACTATAGATCATAATGTACTTGTAGGTAAAGTTTAAACTATAAAAGAAGAGGGAATAATATTGTTACAGACTGTAGCAGCCGATTAGAACTTATTATCACCATAAATTATATAATTGACTATACAATTACTGCAAGCTGCATTAATTAATACGTTAATTAGTGGTTTGCATTTTGTGCACTACATAAACATACCTGATTTCTTAAATAAATTATCAAAAATAACACCAGCTAATGCATAACTAAAACAAACTACATTATTAATATGTTTAAGAAATTATGAAATCACGACAGCTCTCAGGGGTTAACGTATTGCAGGGAATACCACCCCAGTAAAGGAATATCTAATAGGGAATTTTTCTATTTTCCTATTAATGATATCCCTCACAGTTACGACTCAGTGTACATATTAATGTAGATACACACTTAATATTCGTTATAGCTGGCTGACGGCTGGCTGAGATCTCATCAGCAATTACAATAGCTAGAGACTTCAAATTTTCATTTCATTTTGAGTTAGACTACTCGTGAAATCTATAATTTAAAACTTTGTTAATAAAATACTGATCTCTAGTACCAAAAATGCGCTTTCATCAGGCATATGCTGATTTACAACTTGCTTATTCTATACAGGGTGATTCAAAATTGAGTACAAAGATTTTAATGGCGTATTTACCAGCCAAAAAACTTGTGTCGTTTTCTAGATACAGGATGTAAAAGCTTTTTTTTTTAAATTGGTTTTTATTTAAACCAAAGGAAGGCCCTTATGACCACAAATAGCCCTACCAAATTTTAATTAAATCGGCTGACCCTCTATCTAGAAAACGAAGCAAATTCGAACATACGATTATATTAGACACTTAGGACAGAGCTGTGTATCCGTGTCCGTATGACTTATCCTTATCGCATTACGTTAGGCTCCTCCCATTTTACGTATTATCATGCGGATACGTGTAGCCTTGAGAATAAACCGACGTACGCAACATAGCTTTACGGTTGGGTTATGAGAGTCGGTGTATTTGAAAAAGTGAGGTTACGTTTGTGTTTACATCACTGAAATCATGTTTCTGCAACAGAACAGTAGCTGTGCAAAAACGGTAAGTGCGCATACCATTGAGTTAAAATGACCAATAAAGGTTTCCTTAATTTAGGGTTCTCAAGCCCGCAAATCGAGGACGTTTTTTTCACTTCAAATGGATATCCATCTAATGCGATTGTGTGTAGAACACAATCCATACCAACTAGGCAAAAATCAGTGGGATCTGATTCTTGCCGACATGAAGGAGACGTTTAATGTGGAATTTTTGTTGCGCACATTGAAAGAGAGAGCCAACAAATTGGTGGACAAATATCAACAAGAGCAGCTGCAATATAAGTACTTTAGCCAATACTGTTATTTTTTTATAATCATTACATTTCGTAGAACTGGTACAGAAAAAGAACATACGGAATTAGGGAATTTGTTAGAGGTAGTCGTTGCTTATATTGATGCAAGCAATGTGCCTATAACCCGAACCACAAATGCTGATTCCCGTAGTGCAGATGAAGATGAAACAGACAATTCTAATGTAGTTTCCACACCCCAACTTAAAACAGCAAGACCTCGGGCCACAGCAGCAAATGTGGAAAAACACACTGCAGACATGGAACGAGATGAACTCTTAAATCAGACCGGTAAGCAAGTAACTAGTATGGCAAGAATAAAATTGTATACATTCCATTAACATGCTGTAGAAGATACAGCACCAGGACCCATAACAGTAAGAAAAAAGCGTAGTGCGCTGCTTCCTGAGGATGAGCTTATCAAACGAAAACAAGAACAGGATTATGACATTGAAGTGAAAAAATTGAAACTTGAAGAGCGAAAAATGGAAATCGAGTATGACCTGCAGCAACAAAAAGCAACATTGGAACGAGAAAAACTAGAAGTTGAGAAAGAGAAGATCAGAATTACAGAAGAAGAAAATAAACGACGTGATGTCCAACAGCAACAGATGCATGAATTGTTAATGTTATTGGCCAAAAAATAAATTGTTTTACAGATACAACATTGTTTATTGTAAATATTCTTGGATACTAGGTGGTAAACAAGCAAAATAATCTGAGATTTGACATCCACTCATGCAAATATAACAATTTACTAAAAACGCTGCTACATAATATTGAAATTTTAAGTGTTGTAAATAAACTTTCTGATTTTTTTTGAAGTCCACAAAGGCAAATAACTGCACAATTTTCCCAAAACCATATTCAACACTCACACGTAAAGCAGACATAGTTTTGTTGAATAATTTCTGCCTTTCAGTGAGACTGTGATGATTTTTATAGCCAACTTTAATGTACTGGGAATTGGAATAACCAGGGTCACCGTACAAGGCATAGTTTGTGGTAGGTGTAGAGAATACATTTGCCATTTCTAGCCTTATATCACTTAAATTAAGAATAGCTGCATCATGTCTTCTTCCAATAAATGGGCCATCAAGCCTACCAATTAACCCATTGGGAAATACAATGCTTTGGTACTTCAGCATATGTTGCTTTTTGTAGCCACTATAGAAATCTCTCTGTTTGTATTTTGGCCTGCATATGGCTCTCGCAGTGCCATCAATAAATCCAATAATGTTTGGATACATTGACCCAGCTGCTACGCAACACTAGAATTAATTACAAACATTTAGTGAGTTTGGTATTAATGACAATCTCACCTGCGCAAATTCTTCCAATCTATTAAGTATCCAGCATTGATTTAAGGACTGAACACGGTGTTTGTTTCTAAAATAAACAAATTTTACCATGTAATTGAAAATTCGTGAAATTGTAGACGGATCTCTATGAAAGATGTTCACAAGATCACATAATCTATTTGGATAGCTTAAGCGGCGAAGTAATATACATAAGCCTTCTATTCCTGGAAATAAGTTGGTTTGTGTGATCAAGTACCATACAAATGCTGAACCTAACTAGGAACACTTACCAGTACATCGACTTCTATGAACAGTGAAATTTTGTGGGATCCGCAGTAAATTTACCAGTGTATAAATTTGAAAATGTGTAAATCGAAACAAATTTTTTGCATCGTCATCTGAATATTTTGATAAATCAAATTTTTTTCGACTGTAGGAGCAAATTCTGCTATAGTGCAATGTTCGTTTTTTACATATTTTCCAATAGTCTTCAGTTGTTATTACTCCAGCTAAACATAACTTTTTCCAAGCAGCGTCTGCGTTTTTTTAAACAAATCTAAATATTTAATTATCCTACACCTAACCCACTTTAAATTACTTACCTTTAAATTTACCCATTTTCGATTCTTAAAAATGTTGACATCAGAGTAACCGAATATTCTAAACGTCAGATACGCTACCTTAGAAAAACACAGTCCTAACTAAAGCAACCTTAACTCACAGCATACGTATACGTATCCGTGACAAAGTAACGTTTACGTAATACGCACACGTTTACACAGTGCTTGTCCAAAGTGTCTATTATAAAAAAATAATAAATTTCTACACTCAATTTTGAATTACCCTGTATTTCGAAAAACCTCGTCATTCTAAAAAAACCCCATCTTATAATTGACAACAAAACAAATTTACAAAAAAATTAATGTTGGGTATGAAATGAATCATCTGTGGAGAGCATTACATTGTGAGCGTGCAAGAAATATCTGAGAAGGGGTAAAAATACAAGGTTTTGGAGGGTATTTGTATTTGCGCCGCTGTGATGGTAACGGTGTTGCTATGGAAGGGCGCGTAAGGGTGGGCTGTAGCAGTACTCTTTGGAGATTTAGTGACAATGGAAGCGTACCTGGGAGACCATCGTGTTTTTTTTTGCATACGTGCCTATTACCCTAATGGTCTCAGTGCGTCAAAGAACAGAAGTGCAACTGGGCCAACGAAAATCCACATGAACGACTACTACATAGTCGAAAAGTTATTGTATGGGCATGTCTGGTGAAGGTATCATTAGGCCTAATTTTTTGAAGATCCGCGAGGGCATCATTAATTGGCCTCCGAGAAGCTCCGATTTCAAGAGAGATGTGTAGACGAGTGGCGGCTAAATTCCGTTTTCAATTGAAAGAGCGCCAGAGGAGCGAAGGTGATCATTTGGACAACATAATCTCTGTCACAAATTTTCCAAAAAGTTATTTACAAATTAATCCACAAATACACACATCTCTACTTTTTAGTTTCTTTTAATTGAATTTGCAAATCCCCCCTACCTTTTCTGAACACCCGTTATATGTGTATTAACACAAAACATTTGAGTAATGTAGGACTATGGTTGTAAAATGAACCGAAGGGTAGCGAATACTATTTGCAATATGAAGTCCATGGTTTAACCTCAAAATGGGTAGCGTGTAATTTGGATTTGTGACAAATTACGAGTTATCCGCAACAAAACCTAGTTAATAAATTGGACAAAATTAATATCAACACAGCGGATCATTGGCATTTTATTCCTTGGCACATTCACGATATCGAGTTTTACTTTCGCGAAATTTAATCCGGTTTGCTTGGATTCGCGATTCATACGACTTCTCTTCCGCCAAACTTTGCATTCATCACAAAGATAACGTTACCGTGATGGGGTAAAAAAAGTTACTTCTACCATCAAAGAGATCTGTTTCCATATTTCTAAAGGAAGTGACATTTTCCACGGAAAGATAAGATCAAGAAGGGAATATTACTCATGTCAATTACTGTAATATGTGATTTGTATAAAGTAGTGGTCGATTATTGTTACGAATTTGCATAATAAATTGGTATGAAGTAATATTTATACTCCTAAAAGAATCGACCCGTCAAAATTATTTGGCTAATCCAAACGAGGGTTTTGGTTATTGTTTCATTAATTGGAAAATCTTCATTTAAATTCAGTGATAACAGCTCTCACACATGGCTATTTGCTGAAAGGTGAGAATGCTCCAGTATGTGAGAGATGTAATGTAGCATTGACGGTGGAACATATACTCTGTACTTGCGTGAAGTTTGATGTTCAGCGTACCACCTTTAAGATTAACAGGAACTGAGCCGAAAATTTTAAGGGAAAGGAAGAGTGTGAGAGGACAATTACTTACATGCGGTGCATTGGAATGCTTGATAAACTATAGATGATCGCCAAAAATAAAAATAATGAAAATGGTGGTAATGGTGATGGTAGTAATAATAATAAATGTCTTGTTAAAATTTTAATATCTATATTATGGTTGTTTGTATATTGATATGATCTGGTTTATTTGTTTGTTTTGTATATTTACTATAAAGTTCAAAAATTAAGTTTTCTGCAAACTATAGGCCAATGGCCGCAGTAGCCGACGCCTCAGGTGGGGTTTTAGTGGGTAAACCCGTTATAGGGGAGTCCCACACTACTCCGGATTTCCAGCTGGAGTGTGCGTAATGCATTTCCCCACCTGTCCAAAAAAAACAAAAACATTCCTTTGGTTGGATTAAAATTTTGTTTAGCATTCAGAGGCGTGTGTACACTTTGAACAGGAGAATGTATTATTGTGTATAAAAAATGACAGTTTAGGATCAAATTTATCATAGACACGTGATTGCATTGCAGGATGGATACAATTTACAGTATGTGATATAAACATTTCTACAAAAGCAGTTACAAATTGGTCCTTCAAGCCAAATCAATTTTTTTTTCATCTACTCACATTTGGGAACCTTCCAAAGACAACATAAAAAATATGGCAAAGTAGTAGCCCGTCTATTAAATAAATGAGTGGCTTTATGATTTATTTAAATTAACACTGCATACAGGCTTTCATCTAATTAAAAACATAAAAGATGTATCTAAAAAAACAGTCAAGGCTGGCGTAAATAACACTTTCTATCCAAATCCTATTGTAGAATATTATTATACATTAAACAATTTTGTAAAAAAAATGCGCGACCATTTATTACGCGGCAAAATCATATGATAATTAAGACAATTAAAAAAAAATGTCTTTATAATTACGGGTTTGTAGACACTATACACCCATTCTCTTTACATTTTAGTATGTAAATTTACTCGCTAATTAAAATTAAATCCGCAATTAAACGAAACCGTTTTTTGTTTTTACAAACAAGTTTTTCGTGCCATTGAAACAGGAAGTTTAGATTTCGTCTTATGGCGGATGTCTTAATGTCTATTATTTGTTTTTAAATTTAATTGGTGAACTTTCGGCTTTCCGTGCCGGCGACTTCTAACCCCTTTCAAGACTTTAGAAATAATTACAATATTAAAGTAGGTAGCAATTTTGCATGCCGTTGATAGGATCGCGGTGTGATGTAAAGTAGGATCTGCACGTGGATCCGATTATACTATTTTGTGGCGATGAACTTTTAGAATTGTAATCAATCGCTTTGAGCTATGCTTTCGCCACTTAATAATTCACTGGAATATATTTTGAGATAAAGCCTAAAGGCTGAGTTCTGGTTCCTTCCTGTTTACTGTCTATTGTCTGTCACATCACTTCATACACTACAGTTGTATTTTGTAATAAGTAGAAATCAAAATATATTATTTACGGTGACCTTTAAAATCGATCCTCTACCCGAAACGAACTGCTCCCGTATCAGACGGGAAAGTCCCTTATAGTTATAACAGTTATATTATAACCTCAACATTTATTATATTTTTCAGGGCCGAATGTGTATTGGCACTGTTAGTATGCATACTATATAAGTTTTTTTATTGATGTATTATTTTTACTAGCATTTGTTTTTGTTCAATGATAGATCCTGACATCGATAAACAAAAAATTTAAAAAAAACTCTTATTATGTCAAAATCCAATAAAACACCTAAGTACCTATTTAACAAAAGAAAGTTAGGTAATATTCACATCGCCATCCAATTAAATTAATTGGAACATATTTTTTTCTCAAATTAAACGTTTTGTCATTATTTATTTATTTAAATTTTTGAAAATCGACAGTTTTTTCAAATACACGTAAGCGGGAACGGTATTTTAAACAGCACACAAATCTGCTAAATTCAATAATAACGAAGCTACCCCTTCACTTCCCTTCATTTGGGACACTGTATATGACTTCAATACTAAAATACACTACGTCCCAATTTAAAAATAGGACATTTCTAACTAGAATGATTTAAAACTAAACTTTTATACTTTTTACATTTCAAAAAAATGCATAGTACTACTCAAAATTGTAAAGAAAAATCAATTTTTATAGCGAGCAATAAACAATTTAGAGTACAACTCTAGTGTTATTGACAAAAATGTATGTGTGTTCCCTTATTTGTGCCATAGTTGATCAAGGTGGGTTTCGTTCAAATGTCATCTGTTCTGGGTTCGTCTTTGCTACTTCGTTTAAGAACGCCATGTATAATGTATATGACAAGCCAAAAATGTGTAAGCTGAACTTAAATTTAAGTTCTTAAAGTATCAACATGCTTCATAACACAACATGCATAATGCATAAATAATAGTGGAAACCACAGGGCAGTCGTCTACTCTTGCCACATGCCCTTTCGCACACGTTTGTAAAAAAAACTCCTCCATCAACACAATCAATTTCAAACCTTACTACTCACCACAAACCCACACTGTTTATTTACTTGCTTTTATTTACACAATTTAAAAAGTGCACCTTATTTAGATTACAAACAGTATACCTTATCATCAAGAAGAAACCACCGCAATCTAAAAGCAAATAGAGAAGAGAAGCCATGCACAATGCACATTTATGAGGATCCAATTTACAAGCCAACAACCGATTACCGTACAAATAACCCCCAACAGAAAAACAAACACTAACAATATAAATAGCACATTGCACGAATATAAAGCGAGGAGAATATTTTAACGTCCGAAACTTACCTTCGGTGATGGACTTTTCGAGGAGGGCGACACGACGCCGCCGACGGACGCATTGTTCGGCCGTTTAGGAACAATTCTTGATGGAGATCCTGAAAATAAATTCTTTATTATTATCGGTTTATAGCAATTTGTAGGCTCTAAAATTTTTGCGAAGAGCCAGCGTGAAAGTGCTGGACAAACGAAATATTTAATGGCGCATTTACACAAAAATAAAACAATTGTAACCCCGCTTTTTTCGTCCGTCCCTACGACTGTCACTAGCAGATCTTTAGCTATTACCCAACTTTTGTTGGTTCGTTATGGTGTCGAGGGTTGCACCAAGGAGGGAATCTTTTCTGCGCCTCTTACGAAAAATCTATTTTTTTCACTCCAAGTCGCGTTTTAAGTATCTGTCGCGGCGGGTATCTAAAGGACGCGCGCACCTTCGGCGACACAAATTTAGGCGCGTTCGTGCATAAATGCTCACATTTAATTGAATTGAACTAGGAGCGCGGCGCGTTTGTCGGGCGACAAAAATCCCGTTGCATAAAACAGGCATTATCGCCAGACATACTTTCGTTCACGTTGGCTATGAAGCTCTCAAAAAATTGTGACGTAGAAAATTCGATATCTCTCTTAAGCGCGGTTTAGACGCTCGGTTTGTTTGGCTGATTGATACGGCACAAGTACAAACGAGGCACCAACCAACGTTGTTTGTGCTGTCTTTGCCCTGCTAACTTTTCGGGTCTTCTTACCACACTGATTAAGTCCTTAAATTATCCACTTTATAGATACTTGTTAATTAATAATTAAGCAGTAAGAATCTTTAGCTTAACTGGAATTTTAAATAGAAATAACGAATGCGTACGCGCTTTGTAACTTCGCAGACGAAAGTGTTTTATGACGTCCATTTATGTTATACCCTCGTTATTACTAATATGCGTGACGTTTTTCCGAATAAACCAGTTTTTTCTATAAAAAACAGTCGCTAGCGTACGATCTTACACACATAAACTAATAATTTATGACGTGCACATAAACAGAAATTATGAGATTAAAGTAATAATAATAAATAAAGGCAAATAAATAAAAAAATAAAATAATAAAGTCGCAAAATGCCCGTGTTTCTAGCATGCCTGATTTCTTATGTTGTTCTTAAGGAATGGAAGTTACATAACTTGTAAAGAAAGCGTTCGGGAGGTAGTCAAGCATACCCGTTTATAGGGGAAAGGTGTAGAAATGAACATTTGTTAATTATATCATGTATTTGTTATAATGCGAATCCACTCCAATCCACTTGCACAGGGTCGCGAAAACAGTGAGTCTCTATCTTTAAAAAAAGGACACACTGTACATGAAATGTATACAATAATATTCATTTAGAAGTAGACATAGGGATTTCCTATGTCTAGTTATAAATGAGAAAAAACTCTTCTGAAGGACGCCTAATTTTATGCAACCAAAATAACTTCTTACAACAAATGAAGATTTTGCTGTCATATTAATGAATTGGAATATTATTGCTTTATCACTTTAAAATTAGTGGTTATTTAAATGCGATCCACATAAGACACCGTAAACAACCCACGAAAGCGAATTATAATCAAAATCCTACATTATTTGCCAAATCTGAGTTTAAACAAGAATTTTGACATTTGATTGGCTGCATACTGCAGTATAAAGCTAATCAAATGTCTTAATACCGGATTAAATAATGATCCTGGATTATTTTTTGTTGTACAACTGGCCGTGAATGTTTTAATTTTTGTGGAAATGGCGGTCGAATTTAATAACTCTTCATCATAACCTAAAAGCATACTATTTACTGTCGTTTTTATTAAAATCTAGAATGACAATGAAAAATGCGTGCGCATGTTATTTCGGTTGCATAAAATTAGGCGTCTTTCAGAAGCATTTTTGTCATTTAAAAGTAGACATAGGAAATGCCTATGTCTACTTCTGAATGAATAGCACTGTATACATTCACAGATAAACTTGTCCACGCTTTTAATTATCTACCAGTTTCTTGTCACAAATACCATAACTACCATCAACTGCAAATGCACTAAAAAAAATTTTACATTTCTTGACTGGAGCATTAATAGTTATGACTACTATGTAACCAAGTTATGTGGTTACAATTGAATTTACACAAGAGAAATGCCAGCGACGAAATATTAATTTTGCATTCTAACAATCAACCAACAACAGTGGTAAATGGATACTACACTACGGCAACGTCATATTTGGTCTAAAAATATTGGCGATCTCAAGACTGTTTGATTAGCCAACAATGTAAGTTAATGAGCATTTCTGGAGTGTGTTTAAAGACACAACAAGAAGAAGATTAGATGACAAAACAACACCGTCTGGTGACACTTTAAGTGGCCAGCAAATGGTCGTAAGTAATTGATTAACCAAAAGCTTGTATTTTGTTCGACCGTTCGAGCACTTCAAAACGGGCGATAAATGGGAAGACATTACGATAATCCAAATAAATTTGAAAGCAACCGATAAAGATAATTCGTGCAAGTATATTGACCTTCTTTGCCTGTTCGGTGTTCATGCTTCGGCTGATTTAGTAAGTGAAGAAAAATCACATTCTTGCGTAGAACAAGGACAAATTCCTTTCATTTTTAGCGAATTTGTATAACAAAAACTAATTGTAAGTGAGGCGCAACGACCAACGAGTTCAGTTAACTTTCTTTTGAGTAGCCAATTTGCATAAAGCATGCATGCGATTTGTTTAACAAACCAAAAGTGCTCCCAATAAAACTTTCATTGTGTTCGGTGGAGAGTATCCGATAACCCTTTTGGGTGTTGCGGAGGCAAGTAGGTCAATCTGTGGAAATATAAGTCAACGTTGAAGTGACTTGCATTAATTTGATATCGAGCCGCAAAATTGCGCAACAACGCAATTACTTAACAAGTGACGGAGTTTCGTTTAAAGTTGGAAGAAGACCAGACATTCGGGCCGTTGAACCTTATCCGATCAGACTATGGTCTTATACAACCATCGATTCGAGTCGACCAATTTCGAATAATGCCATAATAACTGTATGTTCACTTTCGTTTTTAACTGTCAAGATATGGCGGAGAAAGTGACGGTCATTTTTTCCACGCGTTTCATGTATGATTAGCGTGGATTAGGAAGTGATATTTAAATATTACACAAGTGCTTTCGCCCGACGATTTATTACTAAAATTAGTTCAACATTTGACACCTCTTTCTTCCGATGACAAAACCCTGCGGCAAAGGAAATTCGATCATTTTTTTCATTTCCAACATTTAATTTTGTATTCTGCAAGTATTGTAAGCTTCCATAACAAAATCAATAAAATATTAAGCCATTCTTCTTTTTTGTGTCAATTTTGTACCTTGATGGTTGGGCCTTGTATATTTTCCCATTTTCCATCATTTTCCATACGTTTTCTCTTTCCATTCTGTCAAACGCTGCATTTTGAAACCCATTTGTGTTTCCTCCAACATCCTATTTTCTTTCTAGTCTTTCATTCAATAAGGACAAAAAAGAAAAATAATTACGTGTCACACTCTATACACGGTGTCCAATTTTCGAGTGCCACTATGGGGATCTTACTTATCTTAAGAGATAGAAAGTTGGTTAAATGGGGGCAAAGTTGCAAATTTCCGTGCTGAATAAGAATGTGAAAAGAAATGTCAAATATCTTAAATAGTTTTGACATTTTTTTATGATAAACTAATCGTAGTAGGCATTTCTAATTAACACATTATTCGGACACTTTTTAATGGAGATTTCAAATATGGCATCCTGTTTTTAATTATTTTCAAGATGACGGAGAAACACGTGGCAACTTTAGTTTTTCTTATGGGCGCCATTTTGAATTTTGACATTTTCGGATTACGCCTTTTTTTCTCTTTACAACGATATATCGCACATGGCGGTGCAGTATCACATTTTTCTAAAAATTCGATTATTAATTTTTTGAGAAGAGTGCTTTAGAAAAACCAAACGTTCTTTTGTTGTGAACAAAAGGTTGACTTTATGCTAGTTGTATTGCGAAAATGCCTTTACCAAGTGTAGATCAAAGAGATATGATCCAAATTTACTACACTTCTCATCGAAATGCCCACATGGCTGCTGCAACATACTCTCCATTAAAAAGTGTCCGAATAATGTGTTAATTAGAAATGTCTACTACGATTAGTTTATCATAAAAAAATTAAAAACGGGAATCAGACATTTTCGTTTTTTTGCGATATCTTCAAAACTATTGAAGATATTTCAAATATCTTTTCAGATTCTTATTCAGCACCAAAATTGGCAACTTTGCCCCCATTTAACCAACTTTCTATCTCTTAAGATAAGTGAGATCCCCATAGTGGCAATCGAAAAATGGAAAGAAATTTAGAGTAAAAATTTAAAAATCTAATCTAGCTATCCGTGGTTGACAGTAAAATATTTCATACTCTTTTCAATTAACCCGAGTTTGTTAAAATCGGCTCAGCCGTTTCGAAGATACAGGGTGTTCTTTACGGAAACTTTTGAATACCACCCGCCACTTCATTTTTAGGGATAGAGCAATAATTGTCAAACAAAAAAGGTTCAGATTACTGTCGACTTCAAAGACCAGGCATTTTTTGTTATGTTAATATAGCGGAATTCACAGAAACATCACTTTTTTAGATTCCAATTTGCAGTTACGCCGTCTAGCGACCATTTCAGAAACTTCAAAATATTTTCCAGGTTTTTCTCGTGCCCGTTTTAGTAATAACTTTTTTTACCGCAAGCCTCTACGATGTATAGGTTCTCAGATACAGTACCTCGCATTCTTAGTTGGCCACCCTGTACAACCTACAAAAGTTTTGCCACGTTTTTTACAAAAAAACTGGGGAAAAAATAACTAAAATATTTTTGTCGGCAAAACGGTTACTATGATTTTTGCGCATGTCCATTACGCATAAAGGATGTAAGACTATCAAAAAACGTTTTTTTATGTCTGAGTTTTTAGCGCCGTAAGTTACTCATCCAAATACGAGTATTAACAGGGAGCAACGTTTCTTGATTGTAGACAATAAATGAATTATTAGTAACAAATACAAACAAAAGTTAAAAAAAAGCGTGTGTAGTCACAACAACGTGGCGGCCCGCCTTGAGAGAGCGTATCATAAAATAAAAATTGTCGATAATCCCGAACTGATTAGAATGACTACTAAGGGTAAATTTCGTTTTTTTCCCGAATAAAACTAAGACATGAAATTCGAAACAGAACATAAACGATACTTTTGAAGCAAGCATTTGTGCCTAGAAAGATATCCGTTTCAGGGGATGATTTATTAGGGTTTAACTGCACCTGCATAATCCCATTTAATGATGCTATGCACATTTTGACTTCTTTTCAAATAGAAACCTATAGGTAATTTTTATGGAATATTCTTATTCTAGATCGGAAAATAGTAAACGTTTTTTTCCCTACACTTTAAAGACACTCTTCCAAAAGTGCGACTTTTTGTTGGAGATAGGAAGCTGTTCGGTGGAGAACTTGGCACAGTCAATACTTTCCTACCAGGTCGAAAGCAGTCATGGGGTCCAGGTACTGTTAGATGCCCTGATGATCTTGACGATTGGGGTGACTGATATTAATGGTTATGATTGCTTGATTTATTGATTAGATCGCTGTGCCGCTCATACATCAAAGAATTGATTGATGCTAAGTAAACTATGGCATCGATGCGTATTAAAATATGTCGCCTTTCTCACCTGAAGTTTCACTAAGAAAATAAATAATTATATCAATTCTTTTTGTTTTATATAGACTTGACTAGACACCAAAAGCTGTAACTAAACAACTTCTTATGCAAACTAAAAATAGGATTGTGACTACCTACATCGTCACTCGCATAAATTCCGGGACACTTTTGAATTGCGACTACCGATTCTTTGAAATTATCATAAATAATGTAATTTGAATATTCAGATTTGTGATAATCGAAAGCTTACCTTGTGCGACGACAAACGTCTGGTAGTATTGTGACAGATATGTGAGAATTGATAGGCGATCGGGTACCGGATATTCCACCATGTCCTCCGGTTCCAAGAGAGCCGGTATTCCCAAATGGCGCTCTGCAGTTTGGAATGCCAAGTCGTTGTTGTAATAAATGTCCTCCTTGTTCAGCTTTGAGAAGTCACTGGAAGAGAAAACGGCGGGCCGTGAAAATTGTTTATATAAACATCCCGGAAGGTTGCGCAATAATTTCATGCATCGACACGCGTTTGTTATTTAATTTAGGAAATAATTGAACAATAAACATTACAAAATGTTTATAAAAATAGCGATTGTGTTCTTGTGGGTGAGCTATGTTTACAACATTCAAATAGCGATTACATCAGAGATTGTTAACCAGATGCTTAATGGCAAGTGCAAGGATCTTGGAACATTTTTATTACGCCAATGTCTCAATCACAAATGTTTGGGAATTAAGCAATCGGCCTGCGCGCGGTAACAATTCGTTAAGGGTTGTGAAAAAGTGAAACAAATGAATCGGTGTGTTTATTTCACAATTTATTACCACCAATAAATAAGCACGCGATCAAATAAACTTTATGCAGGACGAGGGTCATACACTTCCATACAACTTTATGGCCCCAATACAATTTCAGGTGATTATAAATCGTGGAAAAGATCATGGGAACCGCAATAAAAAATATCTTTTTTCCGTGATGTGGCGTATTACGAGAAACCCGTTTATAGATCGTAGGCAAAGAGAAAATTAATTAAATCGGTTTATATTTCATATAATTAATAACGCTGTAAATGGAATTGTTTTTCCTCGCTTAAGCCGAGATGTGTGCGGTTTTAGAGGTTTTTGCCAATTACGGTCTGAGGTCATTATCAGTACTCCAAAACGGACTTGATTTTAATAATTACGGTTCGTTTTTCTATGAAAAATTACTGCGGCAACTTCCTGTTTACGGTTCGTGTTCTCGACGAGATGAACAATCGACAATTTTCTCCTGCGTGGACCTAATAATGTATCGAAGGGCGAGCGACCGCGAGTCTGATCAATGATCATTGTTTTAGTAGAAAAGCTTTGGGAAGGTCACAGAGTTGACCAACAAAAATGATTAAGAAAAATCGGGTCAAGGTGCTATTTATTTATGACATCAAACAAAGAAAGGTCAATTAAAAAAACTTGGAGAAATCATTTACGTCACAACCAATACGTCATTATAACGCTAGTGGATAATCCCATGTTATTAGTGAAAACATCTTTTTATTAGTTTACTCTTACAATAAGCGATAGAAATCAAATGTGCATAACACAAAGTACCCTTAAAAGGAGTGTGTGAAGTCGGTTTCTCCATTTTAACATTTTTACTCTAATTGGAAGTCATTAGATTTGATTAAAATGAAGTTTCAACAATTGCCGGTATTTATTTAGGTGTCTGTCTATACTTTTCACTTAACACAATACATACCGCATTAAAGCCATTGACACATGTACAATGAGAATGAGTGCATAAATCAAATTTGTGACAGATTTACGACCTTTTCAGTAAAGAAAAGGGGAGTTTCTTTTAAATGGCGATGTTGGCAGAATTGGATTGTGTCTTTCGGAATTAAAGATGAATGGAAACGAAAATGAATCATCATAGGGTTCTATGCGTGAGATTCAGGGCGGACTTGTGATGCCTGGGTGTTTGGGATCTTTCTTTTATTTGGAAAAACTGTGTTCAAAGTGAAGTCGACAGTATTGCAAACTTTGTCATTATTGCAGTTTCGATTCTCGATTTAATTATTTGAATTGTTTTGTCGCCTCGAATAGATTTTGTGTTTTTTTTAATTCATCAGTCACAGACTACATGATTAAAATATAAAAACCCTTATAACTGGTATCTTATTTTCAATCTTATGCTATGATAGCTCGTTGAAAAGAGAATTAAAAATTCTATTAAGTATGTAATCTAAAAATTATCAAAGTCCTCGTTTGAGATCGAAAGGACTTCAGCGCATTTTTGTGTGGCAGATCAGTATTCTATTAGCCACCTTCGACTCAACCATCAATAACAGATCTTGTCGAAGGCTACTACATTCACTAACCGCTTTCCACTTTCCGCGTGCACCCGCAATTCGCTTTTAAAGATTCAACTCCACCATCAGTAAGATCGTGTTGGGGGCTACCACATTCCCTTTGACGGTACCCACTTCCGACGTTCCGTTCACCCGCAATTCGCGTTTGAAGATTTGACTCCACCATCAGGAAGATCGTGTCGGGGCTACCACATTCCCTTTGACGGTACCCCCTTTCGACGTCCCGTTTACCCGCAATTCGTGTTTGAAGATTTGACTCCACCATCAGGAAGATCGTGTCGGGGGCTACCACATTCCCTTTGACGGTACCCACTTCCGACGTTCCGTTCACCCGCAATTCGCGTTTGAAGATTTGACTCCGCCATCAGTGAGATCGTGTCGCGGGCTACCACATTCCCTTTGACGGTACCCCCCCCCCCTTCCGACGTCCCGTTCACCCGCAATTCGTGTTTGAAGATTTGACTCCACCATCAGGAAGATCGTGTCGGGGGCTACCACATTCCCTTTGACGGTACCCACTTCCGACGTTCGTTCACCCGCAATTCGCGTTTGAAGATTTGACTCCACCATCAGGAAGATCGTGTCGGGGGCTACCACATTTCCTTTGACGGTACCCCCCTCCGACGTCCCGTTCACCCGCAATTCGCGATTGAAGATTTGACTCCACCATCAGGAAGATGGTGTCGGGGGCTACCACATTCCCGTTGACGGTACCCCCTTCCGACGTCCCGTTCACCCGCAATTCGCGTTTGAAGATTTGACTCCACCATCAGTGAGATCGTGTCGGGGGCTACCACA